CTTACATTGCATCAAAACTCAACCTCCAAGCAGTTAACACGTCTGTCTTTGTTCTCATCAGTGACTATTTATATAATGTTCACATATAATGGAAAAGACCGTTAAACGGGCATATACCGACTAACATTGGTGCATAGGAAGCCCATTTTCCCCAATTCTAGTGAATGAATGTTCAATTTTACAAAACTCTAGTCCATAAATTAGCCTATCGCACCAATATATAACAAAACAAGTTAAACAGAGACAATGGCGCTCATCGGAATCTTTGTTGATTGAATTCAACGTCTTGGGTTTTTCCAGAGAAAACCAAGTGGGTGGCAAGTTCTGGTTCTCTTCGGCAGCCAAGGACCCTATTGGAATCAGAAGTCTGTGATCAATCTCGAATTGGTTAGCAGTGGCAGTGGTGGTGGTGGTGGTTCCTATCCAAGCATTGAAAGTGTTTAAAAAATAATATCAATCGATCGTGTGTAATGACACACGTAAACTTCTCCAAACAACATGCCCAAAATAAACTTGAAATGCAGATATGAGCTCACCGCAATGTAGTGAAAGAAGAAAAGTTTGATAAAAAAAGTAGAAAAGTTTTTGCCAAATCACATCCAACATGTTAAACTGAGCAGACAAATGGACTTAAACCCACAGCCAAAAAAATGTAAGAAAGAATATACCAGAACAAATAAATGAAAAAGTAACAGAATACCTCTGTCATTGAAATTTTTTAAACCAGAACAAATAATGTGGTTTTAGCTGATGAAACACATAACCAACAGGGAAAGCTATTGTNGGCCTCAAAATCAATTTAGCTTCATTTTTTCAACCTTTTAAATTTTAAATTAGAATTACATTAAATCAGAAGCACTCAAGCAAATAGAAAACATTTTTTTGAATGAGATTGCAGAGATTTTTTTGATTTCAATTGTTGTTAATTTTGCCATTGCAACACTCTGCAATTTGGTTTCACTTTTTTGTCTTATCAATTATCACCACTTTTTATAAAGTACCCAAACAACAAAATGAATATAAAACAAATAACCAACAAAGCTAACTCAGCAATGAAAGATCCAAAACCCATTAACGCCACATGGGCAATGAACACGACAGGGTAGAAGCATACCTATACCACTCTCGTTTCTTCCCTTTATCTTTCTCTCACACTGCCAACATCTCACAACCCCTTGAAAACCACAACTGCTTCATTGCCTGCAACATTCACGCACGCCACTCCATCACCCAATTCAACCAAAAATAAGCAAATAAAAAATTAACATTGAATAAAAGATCAAAAATGTAAAATCAAAAAAAGTAGCCAAAACTTGAGAATTAAGTACCTTAAATCTCAATGTGGTCCATGAACTTGTGAATTAGCAGAAGTTATCAATAACTTGATCAAGGCGCATGACATATTCATTAGATCGAAAATCAGAATCAAAGCTTCGCATATTTTGTCAATCACATAATATTAATCACAATCAATTACCCAACAAAATTCCAACATACGATCTCAATCATTTAATGCATAATCTCAATCATAATAATCCTACAAATCTTATTGCATGAATATAACACGCAACATTAAATCAAAAACACTAAAAATTATATTGCTACCCTATGTAATGAAAAAGGTCATTAACAACCAAATTAACATTAAAAACTTTCACACTTAAATTTGCAGTCCCTAGCTAATCTTGTCCTGTATAAATGAACCCAACACCCAATATAATGACTCGATATCATAAATGTAAATACTGTCCTATAGTTCACGTGTCTACAATGAAGTAAAATGTCAATGTAAATATGTCCTACAAATATCGTACAAATCTCAAACTTATCCTCATAACACTACTACACTACTACTTTATAAGTACCACCAAATTCAATAAGATAAACCATGAAACACCCACAAAGCATAACACTAATGAGGACCACCTGCACAAAACGAAACAAATAAAAATGGGGTATTTAGAAGCTTCATGTCGACAACATACATGAGCAAAATTGGGTTTTGACCCAATTGATTGATTTAACTACAATGTCTTACCTCTTATGAGAGTCGGACTTTTGTGTTCAAAAAAATGGGGCTGCCAATAAAATGTGATTGATAGCCCGAACAACGCTATTTACAAACTCTCAGCCGCTGACTCCAAATTTTCATTTGTAGAGTCAAAAATTGGAACAATCATGTTTTGGAATCATAAACGGTATATTCTTCACTGTGTTTATTTAGAACATGTCCAGGTGAGATTTTTGGTTAGCAAAACCCAATAAAAACACAACACATGGTTCCTCAATCATTGCCCTTTCATTAAACTAATCCAAATAAAACAACAAGAATAATTTGAACTTTTCGTAAACAAATCAATTCACTTTGATAGACTCATTCAACTCCCAAAGGAAATTCAAATGCCCCATTTATCCCTTAAGCCTAGTTGTGTTGCAAAAAAAAATAAATCTCCTTGGAACACCAGAAACAACTATTCACAACACATTGAAGATGTATACACAGCAATAAAGGGCGGCAGCCCACTGCATGAGACTCCCTCCACTATGCGATTTGTGAAAGTTAGATGTATACAGTAGCATTGCAAAGAGGCTGTTTCTGCTGTTCAAACCTTTCACACCTATGTCACAATAAAATAACCTTACATTGCATCAAAACTCAACCTCCAAGCAGTTAACACGTCTGTCTTTGTTCTCATCAGTGACTATTTATATAATGTTCACATATAATGGAAAAGACCGTTAAACGGGCATATACCGACTAACATTGGTGCATAGGAAGCCCATTTTCCCCAATTCTAGTGAATGAATGTTCAATTTTACAAAACTCTAGTCCATAAATTAGCCTATCGCACCAATATATAACAAAACAAGTTAAACAGAGACAATGGCGCTCATCGGAATCTTTGTTGATTGAATTCAACGTCTTGGGTTTTTCCAGAGAAAACCAAGTGGGTGGCAAGTTCTGGTTCTCTTCGGCAGCCAAGGACCCTATTGGAATCAGAAGTCTGTGATCAATCTCGAATTGGTTAGCAGTGGCAGTGGTGGTGGTGGTGGTTCCTATCCAAGCATTGAAAGTGTTTAAAAAATAATATCAATCGATCGTGTGTAATGACACACGTAAACTTCTCCAAACAACATGCCCAAAATAAACTTGAAATGCAGATATGAGCTCACCGCAATGTAGTGAAAGAAGAAAAGTTTGATAAAAAAAGTAGAAAAGTTTTTGCCAAATCACATCCAACATGTTAAACTGAGCAGACAAATGGACTTAAACCCACAGCCAAAAAAATGTAAGAAAGAATATACCAGAACAAATAAATGAAAAAGTAACAGAATACCTCTGTCATTGAAATTTTTTAAACCAGAACAAATAATGTGGTTTTAGCTGATGAAACACATAACCAACAGGGAAAGCTATTGTAAACAGAGTTCCATCTCCTAATCACAAGTCAAAGAAAAATAAAAAGAAGAAAAGCAAGGAACATTCATTTTCAAACAGACATAAATGAGAGCATAAGTAGAATGGATATTTATTCAAAGAATCACCTGAGCTAGTTCATATTTTTCTATAATCTTCCCCTTCCCCTAAGACGAAACCAATAGAAATCTGCACAGAAAACAGTCACCACATAACCACCTCAACTCCATTTTTCCCCCAGTGAAAGGGCAATCCAAGAGACACTCATCCCGCAAAAAACCCACCCGCACCGTTAAGAAAGAGAAGAAAGAATAAATCCCTTCTCGAAAACCCAAAAGCCTCCCAACCGAGAATCCCCTGATGTTGCCTTTGTGTGTGTTCTTATAAAACCCAAAACGCAAACCCCCTTCACAAAAACATCAAACCAAAAGCCCCCTCAACCCAGAATCNAAAACCACAACTGCTTCATTGCCTGCAACATTCACGCACGCCACTCCATCACCCAATTCAACCAAAAATAAGCAAATAAAAAATTAACATTGAATAAAAGATNCGTGTGTGTTTTGCGAAAATCCCAAAACTGAGTGTGTATGTTTGTGGTGTGCACTGTGGGTGTGTGTGTGCAATGTGATATCGATCACTCTCCCGAATGGGGGTTAGTGTGTGTTTGTGTATATGTGTGAGAGAGATAAAGAGAGATCAGGGGTACCTGGGATGGGTGCTGGTGGTGTTGCTGACGAAGTAGCAGTGGTGCTGGTGATTTTGCTAGGGGCGCAACAGAGAGAGAGAGAGGGGGGGTCAAAATTTTGAATGAATGAGAGGCTGGAAAAAAAGAAAAGAAGAAAGCCGGAGAGCCATGACTCGTCTAACAGAAGGGAGGGGGAGACGATTGAGGTGACTGAATATTGATTGATAGGTAGAATTTTGAAAAATATTGTGTGAAAAATGATGAATTTGGGGGAAAAATTTGATGATGTTGTGGATGATTTTGAGCCGTCGGATGAAATGAATTGTGATTGTCTGATCGGCTTGTTGAAGCTCCGCTATGTTTTATATTATAGATGGTATTCAAAAAAAATAAAAATAGTTATTACAATAGTGGTAAAAATATCTATAAATGTGGTAAAAATACTCATAAATGTTGTAAATTAACACAAAAGTGAAAAAAAAAATTTATATTGAAGAAAAGTGATAAAAATAATTACCACAAATGTAATAAAAATATCAACAATAGTGGCAAAAATATCCATAAAAATAATATTTTTTTTAATGACCTACAAAAGTTATAAAAACAGCCATTAAAATAGTAAAAATTGGAAGAACAGTACCGAAATTTTTTCTTCTAGTCAAGTCCCTAGTTGAAACAAGCATTCAATTGTGCAAGGTCCGTTTGTTAAGTGATTAAGAGGTTGAACATCTCTTAATTATGTCCGGCGACGGTAATGTATTAAGCAATAATCTTGTTACTTTGTTTTTTTTTTTTTTTTTGGTCATGATCTTGTTACTTTGTTAAAGTATAAGAAATATTACCTGATAAATAACGAAAAACTATAGTCACATCCCTTACGAACTCTAATAAATACTAATAAATAGATACTGTAAAAACAAGGGTGAGCATTACCTCTTTTTCGAAATCCACGTTCTTCGTTTCGGCTTGATATATGCCTTTAACAATTTCTTGATAAGAAGACTTTAAAGGAAAACGCTTATCTACCCAGATCGCATTAACGAGAGACAAAAGCGAACCATCGCTACTATTCTTCGATGATATACCACTCGATGCAACCGCCATCATCATATCTGAAAACTTCGAATTGACATCATCGATATTTTTGGAATCTAGAAACCTAAGCATCTGGTCCAACGTAGATCCGGTCGATCCCGCTGCCACCATGCTTAAGATGATATTGAATGATAATGGCGATACCACAAAATTCTCATGGTTGCCTTGTTGGACTTGGTTCAGCAAAAGCTGCGTGGCCATCGGCGCAGAGAAGTTCATCTTTCTGACTGTCTTTTGTTTTACACTAATTCTATTGGGACATAAGTCATGGACATAAGTTATGGAGACATAATGGGTTGTCACCAATAAAATGATAGTGAATTGTATTTAATAATGCGTTCCATTGTAGCATTTAATGAATTCATTATCATTTTATTGGTAACAACTCATTATATCTCTAAATTATGTCCTAATAGCATTGCTCTTTGCTTTAGAATTGTGGGGAGTATTATTTTGTATTAGTTCTTTGGGAACACACAAGTATATATAATAAGGCTTTTATATGGAGTCTAGAAACCCTAGACGTATATGACTTGATGGCCAAGTCACCTCCAAAATTAGATCTCCCCTTTGTGTAAATATTGCATCATCTTGTACACATGTTTATTTAACATTGAATGAGTGATAATACTGACGTGGTGTATTGATACACCCAATATTTATTGCCAAAAAACTCTCAACTACCATATAGGGCTCTCGATGGATCAGATTCTGATCCGAATATAAAATTTTATATTTTACGAATTTGAATTTGAATATAATTTGTTAAAATTTAGCTAATTAAAACTCTTTTTAGTTTGTTTCTCATAAACCGTTTTCTGTTTTTGGACAGTTTTGGAGAGAAAAACAGTTCTTGGAGAGAAAAACAGTTCGACTAGTTTTTTTTGTTTTTGAAAACAAAAATTGAGTAGATTTAGAGAATAAGTTAGAATTGTTTTGTGTGTTTTTAAAAACAACATTTACAGAATTTAAAAAACACCACCACCACACTCTCACCATCACCAACACTATGATCACGTCCACCACATTTCCACTATTAACACGTTTTTGTTTATCATTTTTTGGATTATTGTCCAAATAAATTTTATTGTTTTCTATTTCATGGAACTGTTTTTAGAACCATATAACCAAATAAGTTATGCAAGACAAAAAATAATTTAATAAAATTTTTATTAAAAATAATTTTTGAATACTATTTTTTAAGATGTAAATCAAATATAGCATAAATTATTTGAATTAAATTTTGAATTATTAATGAATTTGAACATGAATCATAAAATAAAATCTATCGAATTATTAAATTAAAATTTTAAAATCGAATTTGAATGAACTAGAATTCAACTGAAACTCTATCTATTGATGTGCTTACTGGCAGATGACTCTCCCAGTCCCACCGATCCCAAAGAGCCTGGATTCTATACGATTATCCATAAATTTGGTGGCTGGTCCAAAGTGACAGACTCCTCTCTAACTTCTTGAGGTTCACAAGAAACCTCACAAATGATCCTTCTTGTGAGAGATATAGGGCTCATAACGAAAACACAATTCATATCTTGAGAGATTGCCCAAAAGCTGGTCTGGTCTAGGGATCATTCCCTAACAAGAAGGATCTCCACTAGGATCAATCTATGGACCTCCATAATTGGATCATTAAAAACTATGAAGCTAGAAAGAATATTTGTTGGAGAGAAGTGAAATGGCCTATTCTTTTTGCTTCTCTAATATGGAAAATCTGGAAAGATAGGAATCAAGAATATTTGTGTAACACAACCCCACCCCCAAATCATTGCTAAGAAAGTTTGGACACTAGCACGAGATTCATCAAATGCTTTCAATGAATCCCATACCCCAATCCCCCAAACTCATTGGTTGGTCTTTTCCTCCTGAAGGATGGACAAAGATGAATGTGGATGGTAACTCGAAAGGGAACCCTGACTCAACTGCAATAAGTAGACTGCTAAGGAATGATTAAGGAAGATGACAATTAGGTTTCTATGGAAAGCTTAAGGACTCCACGAGCCTTCAAGTTGAACTGTGGGCTATCTATCAAGATCTCAAGATCATACAAACAAAGAACCTCATGAAGATGATCATAGAAACTGACTCTTTAGAAGCCCTCAGTCTAATTACTGCTATGTTGGAGAAACTTCTACCAACTACAAACATATAATGAGGTTGACTAATACTCCTATTCTTCCCACAGTGAGTGAAGGAAATTTTTGTGCTGATAAGATGGCAAGCCTGAGAGGGTTACAACAGGACTCTTTTGTGTTTTTTGATGTCCCACCGCTTGTGTTGGGACAACTTCTTTTGAATGACTTTACATGTATCACTTTTGTTAGGGGGTTTAGATAACCCTTTGGATTTTCCTATGTATAAAAAAAAATAAAAAATCAAAGGTTTACGGGCAACCAATTTGATGATGACACATAAGAAATTTGTTGGTCCACTATGCTAGAGCCTATTACACCATACTATAGTTGATGCCCATACCCAACAAGTAACACTAAGGGTTCGTTTGTTTAGCGAGAGAATGAAAGATAATACAAGAAAGAATTTTTTTTTAAAATTTGCATGTGTTTGGTTAGCATGAAAAGGAAAATGATAGAAAAATAATTTTCTTTCATGTTTGAATTTTTTCACAAATAAACCAACTTTTTTTTCTTGTAAAAAACATAAGCAAATGCAAGAAAGTTGTGATATATAACTAATTTCTCATTTTATCCTTATTTTTCTTAAAATATTTTATTGGTTATTAATTTTAAAAAAATTTGGTATAAATTTGATTAATCATATAATTTGGCCCAAAGACTTTTGTGCTAGTGATTATCTTAGAATTAAGTTTCGAGTCATTTTTTTAAAAACTTTTAGCTTTAAATTATAATTACATATTTTTTAATTTTTTAGACATGATAATTTAAATAATTACAAAAAATTTCTTATAAGATTACTTTTTTTCAAATAATAAAATAATTTGTTTTTAAAATTTCCCCATAAATTTTTCATTTTAACCAAATACATGCAAAAATATATAATTTTTATTATTTTCTTTTCATTTTTCGTATTATTTTCATTTTTCATCATTTTTTTTTCTTCCAAACCGAACGAAACTTAAAAACTCACTCATCACCGCCCGTTACTGCACGCTTCACCTCCAATTAAGCAAGTTGTCTTTCATGGGAGCTCTGGTAACAACTTCTACTACCCGTGTCAGCCATTTTATTACCACCAAACTATCCAAATCGGAACCGTAACCCTACCTTCTCACAACGGCAATTTCACTTCAATTGCATCTCTTCACGGCTCAAAGACAAGTTTTGTCTCACTTTTCCGATGGTAAGTCCACCATTGTCTGTGACATTATTGACGTTGAGCTTGGAATTATAGGAAAAAATAACACATTTTTTTTGTTTGGGAATTTTATGCCTTTTGAATGTGGTGATGGGTTTTCGGAAATTATTCAGTGGAATGTGTTAAGAAATATAGGGTTATTTTGTTTATTAAGAGTAGAATAGTCCTTTACTTTCCATGTCTTGTTTAACTTATATATAGTCTCTTTGTATTTAGGTTAAATTAGTTCATTGTATTTCAATTCAATTATGCATTATCAATAAAATCCTAACCTCTTCTTTTTCTTATCTCTCGTATTTCTTTAGATTGTTCAACATGGTATCAGAGCAAATGTTCATGAGACAAGGCTTTATCTCAAATTTTTTTGAGAAGATATTTGTTTCATTTAAGCAATCTGGTATTTGTTTCGTTTTTTGTAATTTGGTATTTGTTCCGTTTTTGTAATCTGGTATTTGTTCCGTTTTTACAATTTGGTATTTGTTTCGTTTTTTTTGCAATCTGGTTTTCTTTGTTTGTTGATTATGGTTACTGCAAGAGACGATTCGCTTCAGTCTGTGAGTGTGAGGTTGGATGGAAAGAATTATTCGTATTGAAGTTATGTGGTGAGAAATTTTCTGTTGTGATCTTTTTCCTTGGGTTTACTTCTAGTAGTCATGATTCTGCTCTTTTTGTTAAGTGCACTGATGGAGGTCGTATCATTTTATCTTTATATGTTGATGACATAATTATTACTGGTGATGATATTAATGATATTTCAGTTTTGAAGACAGAGTTAGCTAGACAGCTTGAAATGAAGGATTTGAGTTCTGTACGATATTTCTTGGGTATTGAGGTAGCCTACTCACCCAAAGGTTATCTTCTTTCTCAGTCGAAATATGTTGCAGATATTCTTGAGCGAGCAATACTTACTAATAATAAGACTGTAGATACTCCCATTGAGGTTAACACAAAGTATTCCTCTTCTAATGGTTTACCTTTGTCAGATCCTACTTTATATCGTACTATTGTTGGGAGCTTGGTATATCTCACTATTACTCGTCCAGATATTGCATATATTGTTCATGTTGTTAGTCAATTTATTGTTTCTCCTACTACAGTTCATTGGACAGCAGTTCTTCGTATTTTGAGGTATCTTCGGGGTACAGTCTTTCAGAGCCTTTTACTTCCATCCACCTCTTCCTTGGAGCTGTATGCATACTCTGATGCTGATCATGACAGTGATTCCACAGATCGCAAATCTGTTATTGGTTTCTGTATTTTTTTGGGTGATTCTCTTATTTCTTGGAAGAGCAAGAAACAATCTATTGTTTCTCAATCTTCGACAGAAACAGAATATCGTGTTATGACATCTACTACCAAAGAGATTGTTTGGTTACGTTGGTTACTTGCAGATATGTGAGTTTCTCTTTCTCATCCCACTCCTATGTATTGTGACAACCGGAGTTCTATTCAGATTGCTCACAACTCGATTTTTCATGAACGAACTAATCACATTGAGATCGATTGTCATCTTACTCGTCATCATCTCAAGCATGACACTATTACTTTGCCCTTTGTTTCTTCTTCTTTGCAGATTGCAGATTTTTTTACCAAGTCGCATTCTATTTTCCGTTTTCATTTTCTAGTTGGCAAACTCTCGATGTTTGTCGATGCTGCATTGTGAGTTTGACGAGAGATGTTAAGAAATATAGGATTATTTTGTTTATTAAGGGTAGAATAGTCCTTTACTTTCCCTGTCTTGTTTAGCTTATATATAGTCTCTTTGTATTTAGGTTAAATTAGTTCATTGTATTTCAATTCAATTATGCAGTATCAATAAAATCCTAGCATCCTCTTTTTCTTATCTCTTGTATTTCTTTAGATTGTTCAACAGAATGTTTCGGTGTATTCAATCGGTGGGTGCTCTTCTAATTTGGATGCATTTGCTTTGGTTTCAGGTTCATCTTGTGATTGTAAAGACACTTCCAAAGTGCATCATTACATTCATGTGAATCAGTTGGTCCTTTTCCCATTGTTCTGTTTAAATTTCAGGTGGGTGAATAGTTCTACGGAAGTTTCTGGGCCTAATTCTCGTGGTTCCAAAGATATTTGTGGGTTTCTTGTGAATAATTTGGTTTGTGCCTGCAAATTGTGCAATTTGAAGGATTCTCAAATGGTGGTTCAATATAAGAGTCATTGTTTTGGCTAGTTAGGCCAATGGTATATATAAATGAGCTGAACTTGTCTTGAATTCGAGCCAGAATTCAAATTTAATCTAGAACACAGCTCAGACATATTTAAGCCTGAGCTAGAACAAAAGATTGACAAGCCGAGCTTGAACAAGATATTTGAACCCCTTTACGACCCCAAGATATTTGAACCCCTTTACGACCCCGAGTCAAATCCAAGAATTTTTGTGAGTTGGCTTCTTCTTGGCAGCCTATGTTGTGATACAGGGAGTCCAACAACTTTCAAGAAAAGAGATTCTACTTAATTGGGTTTCTTAACTGCTTTTTATAATCTAGAACCCTTTTTTTAAATTTTTTTTAAGTTAACTGTTTTGATGCCCAGAGTTAAAAATAGAAGTCAATGGTTAAAACTTGTCGAATTGAGTGTTAAATTTGATGACTTGATATTCAAAATGGACTTGGTTGAATGTTTTAACAGTCTACCCCCTTGTTCCTGGTTTTAAAATTGAGGAAGGTTTGAGTTGAACTTTATTGGATCTATCTCACTGTTGAGGAGTTAAGAATGTTCAGTGTTCACTCTGTTTAGCACTGCAAAGATGGCACTCTCTTATGCTATCCAAAGGTTTTTCTTGATTTCATAGCGTTTTAAAATAATACCGTTAACAGAATATAAGATGTTACATCTGGTCATACAACCGAAATCTAGTACAGCGCCTTTGCTGGTGGCTTAGTGTAGTTACAGGCAATGGAACCCATATTGCCTGAGGCTTGAGTTGTGCCTTCAAGGTCTTGCCCAAGTGAAGCAAAGGGCCCAACAGAAATTTACGCCAGTCAACAATAGACTCAGTAACGTCTAAGCTTACCTTTTGCCTCTTGGGAACCACATGAGGCAAAGAACATCCTAACATGGGCCAAATCATGGTTAGAAGCTACAGAATGCAACATAAAATCTTGCTTACTTTTTCAATATTTAATTTTCTTTGAAGTTGGACATCCTTGTGAAAAATGAAGAGGTGATTACTGTCTAATGGTCTCTTTTGCATGGAGTGGGTGTTAATTGCTAGCCGGATCAACACTGTATGTCCTTGGATTGGCTGTGGACATGTATTCCATATAGCAGACACTAAGTAGCGGTGGAGCAGTTTCTGCCGCCAAGGGTAGAAGTGATCGCATAGAGAAACATTGCTATTCACCCTCGTGTTGGCTATTTTTTTGCACCATTTAACTGTCAAAATTGCATCTGACTGATGGATACATTGAATATAAGACTTGCATTTGCATAAGTGCAATGATATGCAAAATCAGCTTTGCATGCAGTGTAATTGCATCATTAATAGATGTGGCATACTCGCACACATGTAACTTCATGAGGCATGGACATAAATATTTATCATCTCTTTGTTGTCTGGCTATGCAGGTTATATCTTTTTTATGCTCAATGTAGGGCAGCTCCCTCATTTGGTAGATGTGGTCATTGGATTGGGTCTTTGATACATGATGTTGCTCTCCCCAGATATGTTTTCCTTCTCTGCTATGTTTACCAATTCCTATGCCACTCCTTTACTCTGCTATGTGTATTAGTTCCTATATCACTCCTTTGAAGATCTCTTTTGTTTAGTAAATACTTAGCTGATTTTTCTCCCCTGGACCAGATACTATTGCTTCTAGTTCGGGAAGACCTTTCCGGTAAGAACAGATTGAATTAGACATTAGGGTTGTGTCTGATTCAATGTTAATTTGCCAACCGTGGTGAACACATGGGAGTTCTATATTTATTGTTTGTTTGGCATTTAAACTTGAGCATTGCAATAATCTCAACTAACTTCAGCAATTGGCTATTACTATTTGTTGGAAAAATAATTTAGTTTTCAATAATCAAACTATGTATATCTATTCTACTGTTCATGACGTACAACCAAACAGTTAAAAATTATGGGTATTATGAGTTTGTCTATGCTTATCACATAGATCAAGCAAATTATTACATTCCCTGCACTAGGAGCTACCTTTTTTTTCAGCAATAGAGAATTGTTCCAACCACGAGTCTTATGGCAGTTAGGAGCTAATTATATAAGAGAACAGGATTAAAAAAAAAAAAATAGACTACACTACCTCATTAATTAATCTTCAAGTTTATTCCAAATAAAATGAAATTCATATGATTTGTCAGATCTCTTCACTAAAGGAATTAATAGCTAGGATCATCTTGACTGGGATTGAATACAACTCCTGCAAAAATCACCAAGCGAGACCTTGATATTTCTTCCCTGATCGTGAACATAAAAGGATGGTCGGCTACAAAACTTTCAGTTTTTGGGACAAGTATTTTTCTTGAACAAGAACTGACAGTAGTAAAAGTTCCAGCTGCAGCTTCTGTGCCTTCTTCATCTATTTCAATAAAAGTCTTCTGAATTATTTGTGAGATATGGAATGGTACACCAATGGGAAGATGTGCCATCTCCGTCAGCTCAGTGCAAGTTTCACTGAAAGGTAGTGTTAGTCCCATTTCCTTCATGACCCTTGAAGCTTCGAGGTTATACGACTACTTAAATTTTGGAATGCAAAACCCATCTAATTTCATATCCCTTAGCTTAAAATGTTGGTCCAAGAACTGAGGATCAGAATTAACTATTGCTAGCAGAGTTTGCAAATCATCCTTGTCGTCCGGGAGAAAGAATTGCATTGCAATCTCCCTTTTGTATTGGCCAGCTCCTTGTTGATAAGGAATTTTGAGGAGTTTAAAACCATTGAATGATGCATATAGATATTTATTGTTGCCGGTCATAAATGGAACTGAAACTTTTTTTCCATTGAGAAGGTAGAAGTCCCTCTTCTCGGTCTTTTTATGATTAAATTCATTAGGGTTCCAAGATCCTTTGAAGTAGAGAGCATTTCCTTGGAGGAGCGTCGTATTACTGTTGATATTTCCACGTTGAAGAACGTCTTTGATAAGCCCTTTTGTTGCATTCTCTGTCCATGAGTTTGCTTCTTTAACAATCTCATCAGCCTGTGGAGATATTTCTTCATATTTATATCTAAATAATAAAATACAATATAATTCAAATCTCAAAAATATACAGAATAACTTTTGTTATTCGCGATTGAAATCTCTTTAAATTTTACTTTAAAATTAATCTGACGACTAATATTAACACTTCAAATTTAATATGAAAAATAAAGTGACTTTTTAAAAGAGTTTTTAATACTTATAACTTCTCATAAGTATTTTTAAAAAAAAAATAGTGTTTGCAAACCACCCCCCACCACCTTTATTACCACTAGCCCCACCGTTCACCACAATCACCACTACCACCACCGTCACCCCCACCACCACCATTGTCGTCACCCTACCACACCCATCGCCCCACTACCACCATCACTGGTACCCTGCCATCACCTCTTCCACAACAACTATCACCATCGTCCCACCACGTCCGTTATCATAACCCCGCCACCACGCCCCACCACCACCACCGTTACCACCATTATCCCCACCACATCACTCCTACTGTCCCCTCAACCACCATCACCATTGTCACTTATAGCTGTCACCATTACAATCGGTTGTCATTATCCATCACAGTTGTCACCGTCTCCTATCATCACTATTATCGCTCGCCCTCACTATAATCAGTGTTTAAATTTCTTTATTTCTCTTCTATTTTTGTAATTTGATTTTATGTGTGAATACAAATATGTTTATTGTTGACATTTTTTTTATTATTTTGTACCTTCATGTACAAAAAATAACTAGTATATATATATAGCTCAAAACAACAATATTGTCAAGTAAATTCCAAGCAAAAATCAGGTCCCAACTAGGGACAGAGCTCAATCATTTTATATGTAATGTAAGGTATCTAAGACAATGAGTCTAACAGTGAGTCTCTATATTTAGGTTATCCATACGATGGTCAAAAGCCATTCAAAATCAGATGTATCCAGCATTATTTTGAAGACGTATAAGTTTTGGATATATTGGGATTATTTTGTAATTTTTTAGAATTATTTGGTTATTCTATTATTGTATCTAAATAAGGGTTATTATATAAAAATCTACAGTGTTATAAATGAAAGATTGTTACCATAATTTATATATATATAAAAAGTATTTGTTGATGACATTGATTTATAATGCTTTCAAAGATAAAAAATTATCAGTTATATTATAAATAATAATAATTAGTCTCATTCTTGGTATCAAGTTTTAATTAATTTTTTTTTTATTTTTTGTGTACACGCTATACAGATTAGTTTTTAACATTTTATGTTTAATACGCTTTAAATATGCATTTATGAACTTGTGCGGTCATTTAAAAAAAAAATTAAAACTTATTAATGTGTCTGTCCCAATCTAATATTTCGGGCCTCTGCCTATGAAGACAGGCATTCAGAACTGTCCCTTGGCCCATGGGCTTTTTGGGTATGGCCGTAAACTGATATTTTTGACACTCTGGGCTCGATGGTCCAGAAGGGACTCCCCTTGAAGTATCACTGTATCAGTATGATTGTTCGATGTAATTTCAACGTTCTAGATTTAAGCCACGGAAATAATATGTCGTACATATGAACGATGGATGCAAAGTTTCCTAGCATGACATTAAGACATAGGGGCACGGATATAGATACAGATACGAAATATGGGTATAATATCGATACGGGATATGACGATACAATAAAATTTAAAAAAATAAGATATATGTACGGTCAAGATACAATTGTAATAAAATATATTTAATATTTTTATTTTTTTCAACCAGCTTAATATTTATATATTTTGGTAGTTCTTTAACACAATAAAAAAAATTAATAATTTTTTTTAATTTCAAAAAAATATATATCGTATCACTATGGTATATTCATAAAGTGAAATGATTAATTAAAAGAATCAAAATTAATATTTATCGAGTCGGTTTATTTTGAAGTAATTTTTATTAAAATTATAATGTAATAGATTTATTTTGTGCTCTCTTGACTTATAATGGTAGATAATACTTAAAAAAAACTCATTTGCTTTTGAAGTAGTATGAATTTTTATTAATGTATTGTATGGTATGTAAATTCGAAAGGAAATGTTAAAAATTTAACTCAAAAATTATATATGTTGCTTTAACACAAAGTATCCGTTAAATATCTTAATATTTAATTATTATCGGATATGTTGGAGGTGTATCTAATACGTATTCTTGAATATTATATCAAATACGGATATATGGATACGCCGACCTCGACAAAATATCCGTAATTCGGAGGATACATATGATGTGAAAATGGAGAGCGTTACCCGGGTTTTGAAATCCACGTTTTTGGCTTCTGCTTCACACATGCTCTTGACAATTTCTTGATAAGGTTTCAGAGAAAATGCTTATCAACCCAAACTCCGTTCGAACATGAACCACTTGATGCAAGGTCCATCATATCTGAAAAATTGAGATAGGCTTTTTTTTCCGTCTTTGTCTTTCTGTTTTTTTTTTTCGGTACATAAAGTCTGTCTTTCAATCCGTGGAGCCTAAGCATCTGCTCCAACGTATGCCCGGTCGATCCAGCGGCCACCATGTTGAAAATGGCATTTAATGATAATGGAGATACCACAAAATTCTGATGATAGCCATTTTTTAACCCGTCGGCAATAAGCTGCTTCGCCAGTCTCACACCAAAGTTCATATTTCTTTGTGCGTTGGTGACTGGTTTGCCTTAGGGTTTAGAATATATTTGCAGTTGTTGTTTGGAAACAAAGAGGTATAAAGATATAAAACGTCTAGAAACCCTAGAACTGTATTACTTTGTGGACGAGTCATCTCCAAATTCTATCCGATCTCTCCTTCATAACTTCGAAAGCCCTAAATCTCTGAACCACCCAAAAATACCAAATTGCCCAAAGATTGGGTTGGCCTGTGTTTATATAACCCTTCGTGTTCCTATTATAGGAATTAAGTTTCATTTTGCTGCAGCTTTACAAGTTTTGCCAAATCGATGGTTCCCAATTTCGAGTGCCAGGTTACAACGTTTTAGAGTGTTTGTTCAACAAGTTAGAATTCTCCGCTCTTATCAGGACTGATAATCGAACTGAGTTTTACAAATTCGAGTCGAGCTCATTTTTTTTTAACTAGATTAAAAAATTATTTAAATTCAACTCATTTAAAAAACTAGCCGAGTCCTAACCAGGGCGGCCCGAGACATTTTGGGGCTTAAAGTGAAAAAGATAAATGAGACATTTTTATTTTTAAGCTTTTATTATCATATTTAAACTTGATAATAAGAGAGATAAAGAATAATAAAAAATTATGATGATAAGTTTAAACTCAACTTTTTAAGAGGGTAAAGTCTAAATTTTTTAGTAACTTTAGTTTTAATGTTAGTTTTTTTTTCTTTTTTTTTAATAAAAAAAAAATTTTAGACCCTTTTAATTTCACGACTAAATTAATACGCTCAATCTATGAAATATTTTGTTTGGGCACATATTTAAATTTTATGGTTGGACTATTACTTCAGGCCTATAAATTATGGGGTTTTTTTTTAAGTGATGCCTTAATTTTTTTTAATTGGACTTTTTATAAGACTTTTTTGTAGGACTTAAAGTATTTATGGACTTAGTTTTTTTATATGGACTATTTATGATATCTAAAAATATTAGGTCTTCCATAAAAATGAAGTCTAAAGTCCAAGCTATTTCAATTACACTGTTGAGTTGCCTCTGGTAACTCAACTATTTTACATATAAACGAGTCTAAAAAATTATTTAAATTCGGCTCGTTTTCCCAAACTGAGCTCAAAATGAACCGAACCTGAGTCCAAGGAGCTTGATTCGATTATCAGCCCTAGCTTTGATGGTATATTAAGGATCCATAATATTATTTGGGACTAGTATTTCCTGTTTCTTTTCACCGGTGTTATCAAATCCTATAATTTGGATTTCTCCCACAATTGTTTATAAACGTGAGCATTTGTAATAATACCAACTACTTTTATGTTAAAAAAAACACACTTTTAGTAATTGGCTATTTCTATTTGTTGGAAGCCCTAAAAAGGAAAGCCTATATGGAATGTGACAATATGGGAGCCCAACCAGTGCCATGGAAAAGATGTAAAGTCCTTTCGGACAGCGGCCCAGATGTTTCTCTCTATTCCCTACCTTATTTTGGCCCCCCTTTGGCCCTTGATATGTCCCTTTTGAACTTTGGGAGGAAACACGCACCAAGAAAACGAGCTAGGAGGAACAAACCCAAAAAGAAAGTGAAAGTTGGCGAAATGTCACATTCTGAATTGTATTTAGCCTATACGGAGAATGCAAAAGAACAGATTCACCAAAACCATGAGGAGGAGAACAATGACCACACAGAAGGGAAAAGAAAGAATAACCTCAATCGATGTATGTCTCAGTGGTTCGCCCAAGTCTTTCAGAGATGCACCTGACAAGGGTTATGCAACTAGTCGATTTGATAAGGTGGTAGTGGCTGACCTTGAACAACCACACGAGTCATGCTAACCCTTACATGGAACTGTCAGGGAGTGGAATGACCCCCAACAGTCCACAATCTTTGAGGGCTTATTGATATCCATCGTCCCTCAATCGTCTTCCTTATGGAGACGAAAAACAAGTCTCATAAGTTGGAACAGTTGAGAAGATCACTTAATTTCCCTTCCTTTGAGTATGTGGAACCAGAGGGACTCTCTGGTGGATTGGTCGTGTGGTGGAGAGATGGTATAAACTTGCATATGGTTGACATTAACAAGAACTTGATCAATGCTAGAGTGTATTCACAACTGTCCCTGAATGAATGGCAATGCACCTTTATCTATGCTGATACAAATTTGGAGAAGAGAAGGAAAGCTTAGGATACTCTGGTAAAATTGGCCAGAAACTTGGAGACTCCTTGGCTAGTTGTTGGGTATTTTAATGTCATTGGAGGCACGGGTGACAAAGAAGATGGCCTAGCTCGCAACACAAGGAGAATTGAGGAACTGCAGCAGCTTATTTCCGATTGCTGCCTGATGGAGATGAGTTTCAGTGGACCCAAGTTCACCGGATCAAACAATATACCAGGTCTAGCTAATGTGCAAGAGCGTTTAGACAGGGTCCTAGTCAATCCTGAATGGAGCGTCTCCTTCCCCTCTACACAGGTGACCCNAGGGTCAAACAATATACCAGGTCCAGCTAATGTGCAAGAGCGTTTAGACAGGGTCCTAGTCAATCCTGAATGGAGCGTCTCNCGGATCAAACAATATACCAGGTCTAGCTAATGTGCAAGAGCGTTTAGACAGGGTCCTAGTCAATCCTGAATGGAGCGTCTCCTTCCCCTCTACACAGGTGACCCATGAAGCTAGAATGGGGTCAAACCATTGCCCATTAGTGATTGATCTTGGCCTAAAGGCAAAGAAGGTCCCCTATTCCTTTAGATTTGAGTCTATGTGGCTGGAGGATCCTGAATGTGAAGAGGTGGTTAAAACTAGTTGGAACATGACTTACCCACATTCTGCTTTTTAGAATGCCCTCTCTAATCTAAATTCGTGCAAAAATCGTCTGCAAGAGTGGAGCAAGCTTAAGTTTGGTAACAACAGAAAGNAGAGGATCCTGAATGTGAAGAGGTGGTTAAAACTAGTTGGAACATGACTTACCCACATTCTGCTTTTCAGAATGCCCTCTCTAATCTAAAGTCGTGCAAAAATCGTCTGCAAGAGTGGAGCAAGCTTAAGTTTGGTAACAACAGAAAGATTATTTTAGCAGCTGGGGAAGGACCTAGTCTATGTACAAATGCTGGAGTCCTCAGAGGAAAATTTGATAATGGAGGTGGAGCTGTGTTCCCAGATTGATGCCCTTAGAAGTAGAGAAGAGAAATATTGGCTGCAGCGCTCTAGGATCAATTGGCTGAAAGAGGGGGACTAGAATACAATATTCTTTCATTTGACTACCATCCAAANCGGAGCTGTGTTCCCAGACTGATGCCCTTAGAAGTCGAGAAGAGAAATATTGGCTGCAGCGCTCTAGGATCAATTGGCTGAAAGAGGGGGACTAGAATACAATATTCTTNTGGAGCTGTGTTCCCAGATTGATGCCCTTAGAAGTAGAGAAGAGAAATATTGGCTGCAGCGCTCTAGGATCAATTGGCTGAAAGAGGGGGACTAGAATACAATATTCTTTCATTTGACTACCATCCAAAGACGAAATTGAAACCAGATTCGAAAACTAAAGACTGAGGAGGCTGAGTGGATTGAAGGGGAGGAAGAGATCAACTCCCACATCATTGGGTACTTCCAGAATTTTTTCAAAACTGTTGGGGAAAGAGATTGGCCTGAAGCATTGAATACAGTGCAAAAAAGGGTTACGGAAGAGATGAATTGTGAATTGTTAAGACCCATTACGGAGACGGAGGTGCNAGAGATCAACTCCCACATCATTGGGTACTTCCAGAATTTTTTCAAAACTATTGGGGAAAGAGATTGGCCTGAAGCATTGAATACAGTGCAAAATAGGGTTACGGAAGAGATGAATTGTGAATTGTTAAGACCCATTACGGAGACGGAGGTGCAGAACGCTATGCGTGACTTAGGAGCCCTCAAGGCCCCTGGTCCTTATGGCTTCCCAGGCATTTTCTTTCACAAATTCTGGCACATCGTGGGACTGGATGTCTTTAAGTTGGTCAAGAATTTCTTTGAGGAGGGTCAGATGAGTAGGGAGCTAAACCTCACTAATGTTGTTCTCATCCCCAAAGAAGCTGCTCCAAAATCCATTACACAATTCAGACCCATTGCCTCGTGCAACTTCTTATACATGATCATCTCAAAGGTTATGGTTAATTGAATGAAAGGGATGATTGGATCCATAGTCTCCCCAAATCAGGCTGCTTTTGTTCCAAACAGACAAATCCAAGGCTGCATTGCCATCGCAAATAAAGTTTTCCACCACCTCAAGGACAAGAAGAGAGGCAAAATCCCAGAAATGGCAATCAAAATGGNAGATCATCTCAAAGGTTATGGTTAATTGAATGAAAGGGATGATTGGATCTATAGTCTCCCCAAATCAGGCTGCTTTTGTTCCAAACAGACAAATCCAAGGCTGCATTGCCATCGCAAATGTTCAAAAGGTGGTGGAGTTCCTGTTCTTCTCTCCGTTTTAGGGTCTTTACCGTTACAAAATGGATATTAGCAAAGCCTATGATAGAGTAGAGTGGGATTTCCTTAAAGCAACACTAATCAGACTGGGTTTTAACAATCATTGGGTACACCTTATTATGCAGTGCGTAAGTGTTGTTTCATTTCATTTCATCTTGAATGGGAAGAGAATTGGGGAGGTGCAGCCACAAAGAGGGATCAGACAAGGAGACCCACTCTCTCCTTATCTATTTATCATGATTGCAAATGTGCTTTCAACTATGCTTCATAAGGGAATCGAAGGGAGGAGCTTGATAGGGAT